GAGGGGAGGGGAGGGGAGCAGTAAGGACTCTTCAAGCAAGCCATGTTTCTCAAAACGCTTAAGCACGACTCCGATTATAAAGCAAATTTCCATAATGGGTTTCTACCAGGAATTTGATACGTGCACCTCTAGCTCCAGAGTTAATTTAAGTTACCAAAGTCGGGGGGGGGGGACTTCCAAAGGGTGGAGTTTGCTAAGGGAAAAATTGAAAAAAAGAGAAGGAGAGAGAGAGAGAGAAGGGTCAGAGGCTGCCTGTGTTTGCAACAGAGCAGTTTAATTCTGTCAATGGCCAGCAATCCACTTGTTTCATTAACAGTGACTGCTCAAAAATATATACACGTGGCCCTTTCAATGGTACTTGCAATCTGAAAAAGCACAGAAACCAAATTCTGTGATTCAGTTAGAGCAAGAGACACAGTTGAGAAAATATGTTCACCAAAACGAGCCCCTCAAGTTAAAAATACTGTGCTGTGTCCAGCAGATTCTGGTTCAGATCCATGAAGTGCGGTGGTAGTAGTAATTTCAGGTCATTTAATTTTGTTTTTTTCATCCCAGCCTACCTCACAGGATGACTGTGAGGCTGAAACTAGGGATGAGAGGAACAATCATGCATGGTGGTCAAAGCTCCTTGTAAGAACAACAAGATTAAGAAATGAAGCAATGGGCAATTGATTACGCTGGCCACAAAGTCAGGGAATCTCCTCCCGTTAGTAGGAACAGTTCTAAAGAGCTTCAGAGAATCAGCCCATCAGACTTAAAATGTGAAAGCGGCTTGGTTCGCCCCCAGTTTGGAGTGACCTCCCATCCTGTGTGTAAAAGCAAGGGAAGCGAGAATCCAGATCTTCTCTTTCATTTTGATTCCTGGCTTAGGGTGGAAAAGGTGGTGGAATCTGTGAACTCCGAGCAGGCAGGAAAACACAGGGTGGGCGAGTAGAGGGGAGGAAGCACCTAAGTAGGTAAACACCTCTGATTCAGGTACAGAAACAGCTCAGATTCCTTGCCAGCTTGCTCAGCTTCTTATTTTTCCAACCCATTTGGAAACCCTCCTTTGATCTATTTGAGAGTGCCCGATTAAGAAATTAATCTCTCGTGGTCCACAAAGGTTATTTTAGCACACAAAAGAATGAGCATTCCTACACCGCATGTACTTTCTTCCGCCAACTTAAGGGACCCCTCCCCCCAAATAATGTATTTATTTTTTTCCAAGGTTCTTTGCCAGACTCATTTACAGGGTTCTCTTTAGGAGTTATGGGGGTGGGGAGGGCAGACGGGGGAAACTTCCCTGCAAAAAGTTAAGAAAGAGCAACGTTTGCTAAGCCCCAATCGCAAAATTGACGGCGGGTGCCAGGGCAGTTCCAGCTTGCAATTCCAAGTGGCAGCACAGTCCTCTCCTACGTTGGCTGGACTGTTCTGTGCAATGTGGAAGGAAAAAAAATACTACCAATTTTAGTGGGCTAGGTAATAATATCTAGTGCCAAAATATGAGGAATTCGGCGTCTCAGTTTTCACAGATCTGTTTCAACCGTGAACTGCAGTTATGAAAACTCTGGCACGTGTTCTGTGACGCTTTCTAAGGAAAGGCTGGAGGGAGACGTTTTCATGGTAGTAGCAAAAGCTACAACCCCTGTATGTGTCTTCTGTCCATCAAATACTGGGGGAATAAGTGCATCTACGTAAGCTCAGCGAGACATTACGCACAGAATCTGGGACAGAGACAACACTAAATGTGGAATTTTTGGGGGTTAAATTTGAATGATTGTTTCATACCCCCTGCTAAATATGGTAGTGTGTCAGAACTGAAAGGGCTTACTGCCAAAATAGAATTGATTTGGGGACTGGAACTGCCCCACCAACTGCCAGTTGGCCATCTCTGAACTGGGTTAACCCCATTTTGGAGATAGATTTTGTGCTTGGCGCTGTTTCAGAAACATTTCACCCTTACTAAGAAGGGAATTTGCCATAAGGAACTTCTCTGGGGCTTTTCGGCTACCACAAGTGGGCTTCAAGCCAGGGATGTGCTGCCTCCAAAACTCAAACTCCCACTTGAGAACTCTAAAGCTGGTAGGAGGTGAATTCCTTAATCTGGGAATGTGACAAAAAACGGGTCATCTGCAACTGCGATGGAGACAAAGGCAAGAGATCTCAGAACTTGGCAAAAGACCCTCGCTTGGAACTTGGAAGAAATCTGCCTCCTTCTGGCCAAGCCAGGAAAAAAAAGTCATTTTTTTTGAAGCAGGAGCCAACAAAGAGAATGCACTGTTTATTAGGAGTGGGTTCAGCAACACACCGAACCCACTCCTAATCAAGGAGTCAAGGAGAAAATGGCAGAGGGTTGGCATCAAATGAATTAAACCCCCAAGGATTCTTTTGAATTGTCAACTGTACACACCAGGAACCTGCAAAAAGAAGAGGAGATGTTCCCAACTCTCTTGTGGTTTCCTAAGAACCAGAGTTCTAGAGGGTATTTTGTATACCCAAATTCCTTGGGGGAACAAACTGGAAAGAAACAGTGGCCATGAGACCACTGAGAAGCAGAATGTACAAGCCGTGTTCAGGTTCCATTTGTCTAGCTACATGGTATGCCCCTGGAGGACCCCACTTAAGTGTTTATCAATTGCCCTATGGTTCTTTGGCTCAAACAGGGTAGTGTGAATTATTTACGGCACGTACACAACTTTTCAATTAACCAACCACTGGCCTCTTGAAAACACCCCCCCACCATTTATAAGTAGCAATTCCAGACTAAATATCTCATGATGAGCAGGTCACTATGAATTAAAAATGAGTTCCTGATGAAATATTTAATGTCAGCTAAAATGAAGGGAAAAGTTTTTTTTCCCCATTAAAACCTATCTGTTTGGTAAATTTGATTTGCAAAACCTGCTCAGAGGTGCATTAAGGTATGAAATTTTAGCTTTTGAGAACAGCACCCTGTAGAACGCCAGACTGCTCTAACCTAGAATCAGTGTGAATCATATAAAAATCAGAGGATGGTTGATTTGCAGCTCATCTCTGCCCACTTAACATTTACCAATATCGCCTCTATAAGGTCACTTTCTCCCTGTTTGGGGTCTGATCCTGGAACTGAGCCCAACTGGGAAAAAAAGCAATGGTGAGGAAAGGATATTTTGGGGAGGTAAGTAGTGGATGTAAGTTGGATTTAAGGTCTTTTATCCACATATCCTTTTTCAGAGCTGGCATTAGATACTAGAGAACCATCAGAGCCTCTTGCTTGATGTCTGCCCCAAGACTCCTTCCTTCTCTTGTTTTTCCCCTGGGCTGGTACTTTAAGTACTCTAAAGTAGGGAGATGTAGAAATCCATTTAATTTTTCACAAAAAATGAACCACAGAGTAGCTTATATCCACTGTCACTTCCACTACAAGCAGGTAAGCTCCTGAGAATTAAAGGGCCAAAGGAGACATTGCGGAAATCTCCTGGAGCTGATTTAGAAGAATACATCTGTATAATGTATTATCTACTGGAGCCTTCCTCAAACCCCTGCCGTCCAGAAGTGAAGGACTGGAGAGGGGAGAAGATTTGGGGTGGAAGAAGAGAATCTTCCAGAGGGAATGGGGAGAAGCATTAGAGGAAAAAGTGGTTCCCTCTCGGGGTTTTTTTCTGGATGGGCATATTTTTATTTGGACTACAAGCCCCAGGGACAATGGTCAAGTTCTACCAGCTCATAACTGCACAAAACACTAATTGCATGAATAGGATTTTCACCACTGCCCCCAACTGGATGCTCAGAAACATCCCAGGATAACAACATCCAAAGCTGGAGACCAAATTTTTTGGGAGGCTGCATCTTCTTCCAAGGCAGGTTAAATCCCAAACTCACTTTAAGCCCAGATTTAAACAACTGCATCACATTGTTTAATGGTTTAACAATGGTTAAATGGTTTAACAATGGTTTTGTTCCCCCATATGATTCTCCAGCACTAGGATGTTAATAGCGTTAATTTAAACTTGAATTTTTTTACCTACCATTAACTGGTGCATCAATAGATCCGTTAAAAAAATAATCTTGTTGCTGAACAGAACATAGGTGCAATTTTCCACACAGTTATTGCAGGCCAGATGATAGGCGCTTATCGTACTACAGAGTGATCTAGGGGATAAAATGAAATTTTAATCATATTAAGGGAAAAAAATTCAGGCAAGATAATATATCTGTAATATGAAAACGCTTTGTTGCTGTGATATTTACAGTATGGCTGAGATGAAAACCAAGTTGAGTTAGAGACAGGAGAAAGGCAGACAGGGAAAAAACCCAACCCTTAATATTCCAAAAAATTATGATTCCAAATTAAAAAAAAACAATTAAAATATGTTGGAAATATTGGCTAGAAATTCTGGGAGTTGGCAGGTCCTAGGCACTGGGGATTGCTGGTATAAATCAACTGTGTGCTTGGTAGGTCCATAAGATCACAATGAGTCGCAAAGGGGATTGTCTGTTTTGTATGGCTCTACGTTGACTCATTTATCAATTACAGATAACTGGAATGGGATAAAGGTAATTGATGATCAGGAAAAGAAGCCATCTTAACATTTGGTTGCCTAAACAACCCTTTATTCTTTAAAACTATTACAGAAGGTTCAACGTCTACCCTGGGCCTATTTTCAGCTTGATTTTCTCTGGCAAGTATTACCCCAACCCACACTGGTTGTAGGATCACCAAATTGTATGCATCATATTAAAACACAGAGTTTAAATGCTGAAGTTTCTCAAACAACTTGTCTGTATTTCTGAATAAAGTGTGAACGAACGTCCATCCAGAAAGGAATATTTGCTAAACTATATTAACAAACACTTTGGGACCTCCATCAAAGTAATTATTTCCCGTCCACATTTAAGAATGTTTATAAGAAATCTAGTATTAGACAGAGAGCTATCACTGGCTAACCTCCTTACAAAGATCATCAGGGACACTGAGAGATAAAAATCACTTTTTCTGCCTAATCGATGACACCCGGTTGGGAATAGTTCAGGAGGGAAAACCACATTTACAAATAAGGTGGGAGAATGCCTCGTGTAAGGAAAGAGGAAACAGGGAAGCAGAGCTCCTTATACAGAAACCAAGAGTGCTTCCTTCCACTGTAATCCTTGGGGACCCATTTACACTTCTTAAGAGCATGGAAAGAAAACCAAGAAAACCACGCTATTTGTCTTCTGCAAGGATGCACTTCTGTGGGACTTCACCAGGAGTCAGATGGCAGTCAAGCACAATGACATCAGCTTGTCAACCATGCAGTCCTTCTGCAAACTTAATTTTTGCTTTCACATATACTTTATGAAATACTTTCTAACCAGCTGTCTCCAGATGGAGTAGCCGATAGTGCCCATAATTCTCAGAAAATCAGGAATCTGGTAGCACCTTTTCCGACGAATACTGCATGTTTTATTAAAGGCATAAGCTTTCAGCTCATGAAAGCTTATGACTTTTAATAAAATTTGTTAGTTGGAAAAAGTGCTACCAGATTCTTGATTTTTTGCCATTAGAGACTAACACAGCTCTCTTCCTACTATAATTCTCAGAGAGCTGGGTGGGAACTTGATGATGTAAAAAGTGCCATCAGCTTCTTCAGCTGAAAAGGCAAATGTAATGTATAGGACGGTGGCTGATGGTGGTCCATAGTCTTATAGCTCCTGTCTCATTCTCTTGACATTCCTGACCTTGAAGACTGAGAGCACCAAACATACAAGAATCTGGGAAGGGAAGGGAAGGGAAGGGAAGGGAAGGGAAGGGAAGGGAAGGGAAGGGAAGGGAAGGGAAGGGAAGGG